TTAACATGCCCTAAAGTATTGGTACAGTAAGCTGTATTCACTTAAAATGCAGTGATCAAAATCACATGCTATATGCTTGTCCTTTAATGGCAAACCACTGTTTCAGTGGAGATATTAAACAGTATTTTCTAGTACTTCTTTTGTTTGTTATTTTCAGAGTTCTAGTCTGGATGTAGTCTGCAACGTATTTTGGATCCTCTTCTTGTGAATGCCATAGTATCGATGATAACATCAACTGCTAAGTTAATAATGTAATTTAGCCGAAGTTAACTAACTTAGTTGAACAAAGAGAAGCATAGTAAGTTATCTTCTCTACTCTGCCTCTTTATCGCAAGTAAGGTCATTCTCTTCAAATGCTATTTAAGTCAGAAAGTGTGTACCGATGTCGTATGTAACTTTAGAGACGCTCTCTAAATTCAGTGACAGACGTAACGTTAACATAAAACAGCGAGCTAACAACCTACTGAGGAAAACTGAGTGAAGAAACTCCAGTTAATAACATATTTTGTATTTTATTTTAAAGTTTGTGGTCATGTCGTCTGCATCGGAGGTGTATTGGAGTCTTGTGATCGCCTCGTAGCGGTGCTAACAGCAGGTGAGCTTCTATCGGCTTAACTAACTTTAATGTCACTAAATTAGCCTCTAGCTGCTGTTCTCCACTAACTCACAGAACAGGTTGACTTTGAGAGGAACATGCTAGCACATGTTGAATAAACATGAGCACTGCACCTTTAAAAATCGAAACCCGGTGCGGGTGTTTTTATATCACTGTATTTCTGAAGGAAACTCATTTTCATTTCTTCTTGCTCGTAATATCTGATAATACAGACTGTGTCTCATTTGGAAGGCTGCGTCCTCCGGAGGTCGCATTCGAAGGCTGCATACGTCATCGAGGCTGTCTCATTTCAGAAAAGCAAGTAGGACACTCCGAATGCGACCTTAGAATGTGACCTTCTTTCACAGGATTTCGGAGGATGCATGAGGTGTATCCTTCGCTGCTACAGATAACCCACAATTCTTTGCGTGTGTCTCATTTAGAAGGCTGCACCCTCCGGAGGTCGAATCCTCTGGAGGTCGCATCCTCTGTAGGATGCATATACGAAGTGTCCTCAACCTAGAATTAAACGAGACGGCCTTCGTAGGACGGGCGGAAAAGGAAACCGGAAGTATCACGTTGCTATGCCAACACATTTAGAGCATCGTTGCGCTCTCACACTACTTAAATGAAGGAAAATTATTAAGTGTTTGTGAGTGGAGCTCTGCTTTGTGTTCAGCGTTACCGGGGAAACCTGATCTCTACCACTCCAACAGCGCCTCCTGCTGCCAGAGAATGAGTTTGCATAAAAGTCTGTGGGAAACACTGTAATGTTATTTATGCAATTTGTAAGTGCAAATTATAATTAATTATACTTGTCTCTTTAAAAATAAAAAATTAAGCCATTTAGCCAATGTAAATTTTCAGCATAGCCTATTTTATTTGAAGTGTATCCCGTGTATTCTGATACATGCATTAATGTTTCTGGGCTAAGCCCCGGATATCCACTCACTGTAGAACTGCCCCTGGAATCAAACCCATTATTTCAACACTTTGCTCTACTGATTGAGAATGCATTGTAAAAAATGGAGCTTTAATAATTTGAATAGGATGGATTATCAACTAATTATGCCCCTTCCTTGTAGGTGTGTTCAGATGTAGTATATAACGTTTTTTTATTAACGTTGTTACGATCGCTCCCCAGTCTAGGGTTGGGGAGTGGGAGTAACAGCTCAGCTAAAACTTATACGGAAGAAATAACGAAACGCGGAGGAATCACTCCCGTCCTCTGCTCCAGAAAAATGCAAAGGACACCACCTAGTTTGCCAAACTGGGGAGCGATCTGAAGACTGGAGTGATGATGCTGAAAATTCAGCTTTGATCACAGGAATAAATTACATTTTATCATATATTCAAATAGAATGCAGTTATTTTAAATAGTAAAATATCACAATATTACTGCTTTTGCTGTATTTTGGACTGTGGTGATGCCCTTTTTTAAGCTAGTGCATCTGAGAGGTCAAGATTTGTAATTTGTACTTTTAAAAAGAAAATGTTCAACAATTAAAAATAATATTATCAGAACTAAAGCTCATGAGGTTTTTTTGGGGGGGGGGCTGGGTATGGTAAAAATCATGTTTTACAGTGCAGTACCACAATTGGATTGTTTTTTACAGGTAAAAAGGTTTTTAAACTAAATGAAAATAAACTACAGTACTGATACTGTAAATGAAAATACGGTAATAATACTGTAAATAAAATACAGTAAAGACATTATTGTACTGTAAATGCAATTACAGTACTGATACTGTAAATGAAAATACGGTAATAATACTGTAAATAAAATACAGTAAAGACATTATTGTACTGTAAATG